GATCAATCCCCAAAGGCCCTTGAAGATCCGTTCATCAACAGTTCTTCAAGATCAAGCCCAAAAGCCCTTAAAGATCCATCCATCAACTGTTCATCAAGATCAAGCCCCAAAGGCCCTTGAAGATCCGTTCATCAACAGTTCTTCAAGATCAAGCCTAAAAGCCCTTGAAGATCCATCCATCAACTGTTCATCAAGATCAAGCCTCAAAAGCCCCTTGAAGATCCGTTCATCAACAGTTCTTCAAGATCAAGCCCAAAAGCCCTTGAAGATCCATCCATCAACTGTTCATTAAGATCAAGCCTCAAAAGCCCCTTGAAGATCCGTTCATCAATAGTTCTTCAAGAACAAGCCCAAAACCCCTTGAAGATCCGTTCATCCATTAACATTTCAAGATCAAGCCCAAAAGGGCCCTTGAAGAAACTTCCAACCGTTCATCCAAGATCAAGCCTCAACGGCCCTTGGTTCAGCATCACAAACCACAAATCAACACCTTACAGAGATCAAATCAGAGGATCAAGTTATAAAGAGATTGTAACCCCTAAATCATTAATATAAATATTATTTTGTACATGTTTGTTCTTGTCTCGTTTGTTTCAGGAATTTCCGTGTTTACATATTCAGTCACGGACTTAAAGTCCTAGAAGCGAAGATGTTGCCAGTCGTGTCTTGCTTCAGGCAATGAGATGTCTTTCTGGTGATCGAAACGGTCGGCCAAAGCAAGCTAGAGGGTGCGTGGGTCCTCCTCAGCGAAATATTCAGTCTACAGTGCATCATGGATATGCCTTCGAATGAAAATCATTGTAGTAGCCTTCTGAGCTTCGTCAACAGGTTTGTTGGCGATAGGTGTCTTGATGGTGGCTCTAATGCCCTTTGCAGTTAGATGGAGCTTCACATCTTGAACCTACTTCAGATAGTTTCTTCCAGAGACTTCTAGAGCGGAGAAATCAAGCTTGTTCAAGTTCAACATGTCCCTAAAACGGAGGGGGAAAAACGTGATTAGTCATATGGAAGCCATAGACATATATCGTAGAACATACAAGTTCTATAGACATTTATTGGTTTAATTTATACAACTACAGGTTTCATGTGGTATGTTTTGAATGAAAACTTCAAGTTTCAAAGGCATTAAATTTGAAACTACATGTTCAATTTAGTGTTATGAACAATTAGTTCATAATGAGAGGTTCCTGCAAGAAGAATGCAATATACAAATTTGAATATACTGGATTTGAGGTTCTTCAAGAACTTAAGTGTGAGAGCTTCGTTACTACGAAAGTATGTTACAGTTCAAAGTATAAAAATAAATTATTTAATCGTTAATGTCCAAAAGTGATCTTCAGGTCAATAATTTTGGATTCATTATCAGACTAATAGACTGCAGAACACTTTTAATTAATTCAATAAATTGGGTCATACGGGGTAGATTGTAGAAGCTAAATAATATTAAAATAATATTATCGGGTTGAAAATATGGCATAGCCCAAAGAAGAGCTAGGTGCCGTGAGCAAAAGGGCTAGGGTTGGCTACTAAAAACAGCCCTTAGGGTAGCTGCAGGCCATGGGTCCAGGGGGTAAGCCCAAAGGCTTACGGGAGTTGAAGAAAAACCCCAGCCATAGCTGGGTTTCATGTCTGGGCCGATGGGGCACGGTTCAGGTCCAGCGAAAGCTGGCTTGTGGGTTTGGGTGTGTGAGGGCTAAGCCTAGCCTTGTGGGCTAGTTGGTGTGGGTCATGGGAAAAATCCCAGCCAACTGGATTGGATTGGATGGCTGTAGGCCGGGGCAACACAAGGCCCAACAAGCACATGAGTTTGCTGGCGGGCGGGCCAAGACAGCATGATTGGGCTCGGGCCTTCAGGCTTTGTCGAGGTTGATTCCAGGTCGAGGTCTAGTTGTTGCTTGCACAGTGATGGTGTGGTGGTGCATCGCACCATGTCCAATTCCCCCTTTGTTTTCGAAATCCCTTAGGGTTTAGGAAACCCTAAATTTGCTTCTAATTTAATTTTATATATTGACTCACATATTCCACATAACAATTTAATTGTGCGATGCATGAAACATATATATATATATATATATATATATATATATATATATATCGTAAGGAAAAATATAAACAGGGAGGGGTTCATCCATCATGGGGAATATTTTCATGCTTCGTGAATGTTTCAAATATCTTCTTTTATTTTAAGCATACCTGATTAGCAAAAAACGAATATAAGCCTTTGAATTTGGTGGATGATAGCCTCTTCCTTCGATGCGTCAATTCCTCAGCTTCTGGCAAGTGCGTGCTGATAACGTGTTGTATGCCTATTTGATTGAATGATCTAGGGTTGAGAGAGAGAGAGAGAGGGGGCCGGCCATAATTAGAGAGAAGAGAGTGATTTAATTGTGAGATGTGTTTGATTCACCTCATTGTGCCTTTATTTATAACAGTAGGATAGGTAAAAACATATACCTTTAGGATTACAACATTTAATAGGTAATCAACTCCTAATAGGAATATAAGATACATTATCATATTTACTAAGATTTTCACAATCACATTCATATTCTAAATATGACTGTAACATAATCAACTATTTAAAGGAGTGAAAATAAAATAACAATAATAAAGTAAAAATTAAATAAATCTGACAAACTCACCTAATCATTGTTATATAGGTTGATCCTCCATTCGCCCAAGTCAATCAAGATGGAGACGAAGGAGTGGTCGGATCTTCCAAAGTAGCTATGGTCGGCAATCAGTAACATAATTAACTATTTAAAAAGTGAAAATAAAATAACAATAATAAAGTAAAAATTAAATAAATCTGACAAACTCACCCAATCATTGTTAAATAGGTCATTCGTCCAAGTCAATCAAGATGGAGACGAAGAAGGAGTGGTTGGATCTTCCAAATGAGTTATGGTCGGCAATCGATAACATAATCAAGTATTTAAAGGAGTGAAAATAAATTAACAATAATAAAGTAAAAATTAAATAAATCTGACAAACTCACCCAATCATTGTTAAATAGGTTGATCCTCCATTCGCCCACGTCAATCAAGATGGAGACGCAGTGGTCGGATCTTCCAAAGGAGCTATGGTCGGCAATCGGAAATCGCCTCGACAACCGCCTCGACGTTCTCCGATTTCGCAGCGTCTGCAATACATGGCGCTCCTCCGTCTCCCCTTTTCAACAACCCGTTACCCTTCCTCTGCCCCTCAGCTTCTCTTCCCCTCCAGCCGCCGAGGATGGCGGAGCTCTGCAGACTCAACCCAAAGCCCTACTCCTTCAAATCAAAGTCTATCGGATGGAATCGCTTGTCGGCGAAAAACCCAATTCGTCAAAACCCTGGGTGGTGAAGTTTGAGGAGTCGAGTTCCGGGAACCTGCGATTGCTGCATCCAATCAGTAATAAGCCACTCAGGTTTTCGCCTGCATCTAACTCTTTAAAGGAATTCAATTTGTTGGACTTTAAGATGGTCGAATTGCGAAAATCGTACAGTCTGCAGTTCAGGAATAGTCTCAATGTTGTTACGGCTTGTGTGAACAAAGTGGTAGTCATGGATGCAAAGAAGTTGAATGATTGTGGTATTTTTATGATTTGCAATGGCGGAAAGTTGGGTTTCTTGAGATTCGGGGATGAGAAATGGACCCATGTGGATGAACAAAACTCACATTATGATGATCTTATTGTGTATAAGGGTCAATGCTATGTTGTTGATAGATGGGGAACAGTTTCATGGGTCAATTCGGATTTGAATGTGATCCAATTTTCGCCTCCGTTATGTGGGTTTGGCGGGCGGAAGCATTTGGTTGAGTCCCTTGGCGATCTCTTCGTTGTTGATCGGTACCTTGACAAGTGTGAAATGGAAGGGTTACCAGAGCACAATGTTGAGAATGAAAATGTTAGTGTTTTTGGCCCTAATTTTCAAGCTCCTCCTCCTCCTTTCGCCGCTTCTGTTGACGGCAAGGCTGTTGATTTTAAAGTTTATAGGCTGGATCAAGAATGGGGTACGTGGGTTCAAATGAAAAACTTGGGAGATCAAGTGTTTATTTTGAGCAATGATGGGTCTTTCGCCGTCTCCACCAGAGACGTTGGTAGAGTGAAGGGAAATTGCATTTTATTCACTGATCAAAAGCTTCCTCATTTACACGGAATTGGGGGATCAAAAAGGCCTAACACTCGCGTGTTCATGCTAAAGGGTGACAGCATCATTCGGGACGGACATGCTTTGTCCGCCTTTAACAAAATGCTCCATCCACCATCCAGTTGGCTCCGCCCTGTTCTTGGTTTCCGTCGGCATCGGCTTGCTGACTGGGATAATGCTGACAGCGAGTGAAGACACACTTTCTGCATCTCTCGGAGGCGGAATATCCACTTTCTCATGAAGAGTGATTTGTAGAATCATCTGCTATGAACTAGTGTAAAATCATCAATCTAGTTTATCCGATGTTATTGTGGATGTATATATGCAGATTATGCAATCCGTTTCTTTGTTGAACTCAAATCTTTACATGTAATTGGTAATGTAATGCGTTTCTTGAATCAGATTCCCCTCCTCACCCACCCCTTTCCACTCTCTCTCGCTTGAACTCGTTGTCATCCTTAACACGCATTAGAAACCAAAAATTGGTGGAAGAGTTTCGATTGAAGACCGTAATTTTTGGAACTTATCATTTCTAGGTTTTTGTTCTTGAGTTAATAAGAGTCTTATTGTTGGATAAAACTGAATCAAAATGAAGAACACAAAACTTAAATTTCTTGAAACATACATAATTTCGCACACTCTCCTTCAACTTTGGTTTCTTTAATTTCGTGACTTCCTTTTGAAATCGTAGCACAAAGGTTGTAAACTACAAACATTCACGACAAAACTCCTTTTATTTTTATAAGATTTGCGTGATGATCGATGGACCAATTTGGTTTTAGTTGTTAATTTTTCAATTTTATTATAATTTAACAGACCAAAAATTTCAATTTTTGGATTTATATATTACTTTAGTCTAAAGAAGGCTTTTCAATTGCACTGTACCAATGAACAGTGTTTTGAACCACATTTCAGTTTATTTACAAGATTGCCACCGCCTCTTCAGTTTCAGATTGAAAATTTCGATTTATTTACGAAATAACCACCCTTCAGCGTGCACGTGTCGAGCAAAAGCAAACCCGACTTTGTTCCAGAGATCTCTTCGATGACAAACCCATTTTGCTCCAGAGCTCTTCAACGACAAAGTCGATTCGGCGCCTCACCGTCGCACACCTCGCCTTCCCCTCGCCGTCGCACACCTCACCTTACCTCGCCGCCGCAGTCCTTACCAGAACTCGAATCAATGGTAACGTGCCAACTGTATATATTTTTTGTCGATTTTTATCATTATTCTGGAAATTAGGGTTTGATCTAAATTTGGTGTGGCTGTGCTTCAGCCAAAACTCACGGATTAGGCTGAGATTGAGATATATGGGAGGATTTGTGGACGGATTTCAGGGAGAGAGGCCCACGAGAACGACAAAGACGGTCTCGCCTCCATCCTATCCTCCTTTCGCCGCCGTCTACCTTCCCTCGCCTATGTCGTCTTACTCCACCGTTTGCGTCAGGAAGGCTCGTGCGTGGTTTTTTGGGTGGGGATTTCAAATTTCAAGGGGGAGAGAGGCTGTGGTTCGTTTCGATCGGGCCGAGCCTCTATGATTCCATTGGATCGAGGTGATGGGGACAAGGCGAGAGGTTGAGGGAAGTCGGCTCTAAGACTCTGCATCTCTCACTTTCTCATCTCTCAAACCACTTCTCTCTCTCCCATCTCTCCCACTGTCTCCGTCTCTTGGTTTTCTCGCTCACTCTCTGTCCACTGAAATTTCAAGGTGATTTTCCAACCCTAAATTGATATATTCCATACCTTGATTTGATCTTAATTTATCTGAAATTGATCTGCATATGTGTAGTATAGATAAATTTATCTAATGTTATAGAATCCATGTCCTGTTCAGAAATTCTGAGATGGAAAAGGTTACGGAAAAATTGGAAGGTAGAAATTCCAATATGAGTTCTCCAGCCGATTTGAGGTGGGTAATACATACTTTTATGTTAAGTTGATTTGTTTTGGTTATTTGGGATGCTTAATTTCATCTGGAAACAACGATGACCATCCAAAAGTTTCAATTTTATACCCATTATTCAATACTAGCTCTATAATCATCATGTTTCCTCTGACTTTGTATGTGAATTCTGATATATAATCATATTTTAGAGTTTTCTATTGGGGAAACGTTAGGACCTGATTGTTCCACATCGAAAAAACAGCAGCAGTGGGTCCTATTTAAAATTAATCTAATTGAAGAGACTAAGGACTGGGCACCTTCTACAAGCCGCAGTACTACTATTTGAGGTTTATTTCATTTCCTCTCTGCTCTCTCAATCTTCATAACTTGCTTTTAGGTGCATTTTTTGTTTGGTTCTTATTTAAAATGAATCTAATTGAATATTTATAATCAAAAGAATTAATTTTCTAATTGCCCAATTTTGCAGGTTTTGCATCATTGGAGCATCAGGCATATGTCATTGCTTTATCTAAGGAGGTAGTTGAAATGTACATACAATATCTTAGCTTTTTGTTTTTTTCTTCTTTGGCTGCTTAGAGATTATGGGTCACGAGCCTGGTTTTTAATAGTATAGCAAAAGTTTGCATCTTTTTGTAAGCTACGAATTCAACTTTTGGGTTCCTTGAACTCAGGATTTATATATGTAACATTTCAGGACTCATGTTGGTGTGAAATTGTAATTCCTTGCCCCTCATTACATGTTTTGACGGGGATTTCAGCTCATGGAACATTAAACTCCATAAATTTGAAAAAGTCTACTTTTACAGATGGTAAAATCTTGGATTGCCAATTGAGGATATAGCTGCAATTCAAATTCAGACTGCTTTCCTTGCACATGTTGGTATGTATGTGTGCACTAAAATCTTCAAAATATAAATTTCCAGTTTCATTCTCTCCTTCAAGAACATTATTAGAAGAAATTAAAGATTATTTTTTGTTCAGAGTATGAGTGCTATATGTGTTTCTTTCATTGCTAAAAAGTATGAGACATAATTCTGCAAAACTTAATTGATGACCGTATGAAAGCTATGAAAGAACTCTACGTATAATTCTTTGAATCTGGTTCAGTTTTGTCTTAGATATGCATACAATCATTATTTGTGAGATAATTAGTTGCAGGCTGGCTTTTAGCTGTTTGTTTGTTGATAAATTACAATTCTTAAGGAATTATATATGATTTGTGAAGTTTGAGGTCAACATCAATATCCATGGCCTGTCATGATCCCCCATTGTACCATATGGCCATAAATTTTGGCAAAATTATGATTCATTCAACTACTTCTTTTTGTCTTTGTTTGATCTTTGTTTCACTGTGTTTTGCAGCTCATGGAATACTCTTCCCAAACTTAATCAGTAAGCGAGTGAACGACATAAGTTTCTAAATTACAGGTTAGTTATACATTTTTTGAAAATCCTGTGCAGAGTAGTTGATAGATGTTATGTTATTTGAAAGTTCTTATTGTTGTGATTGTGTTGTGCTTGCTGTGATTTGCTTAGCTTAATTATAAATTAGGGGTGGTTGAAAAATTAGATATTTTATTCATGCATGTTTTTTCCTTTCTTCCCGGCATTCAATTTGTTGTCTGGGGTTTCAGTTTTATTCATCTTAGCATCATTCACTGTATGTAATCTGGTTTCATTCTTTAAATAGACTAACCATTTTTACCATTTTTACCATTTTTGTTTGTGCAGAGAGGAGATATCTCATTACAAGGAACTCAATCCAACAGAACTCAGTCCAAAAGAACATTTGCTACTCTTAAAAGCATTATGTGGACTCCAAGCTCAAGTCGGTCCCTAATTTTCATGTATTTTTTATTTCTTTATGTCTAGGTGGTTTGCATGGGTTTTAACCATGAAATCACCTAACTTTATGTTTGCAATTGTGTTGTTTCTGATTGTTGATACCAATTGGAACACTATTATTTAGGTTATTAGATTTTATGCTATAAGAGTATGTTAACGTATTCGTTTTAGTAACTACCATTTTGCTTTGATACATTGTAAACGTAATTTCTGTAACAAGAAAATAATCTTATTTCCCGTTTAATAAAACTGTTTAGTCATTGGAAAAACTGTTTGTTTAATGTGTTCAACATGTAATATTTTAATGTTGGAAACCATTGGCTATGAATCTTTCGAAAGAAATTAGCCCCATGAAGTAATAAAACAAGGTCATTTATGGAGGAATAAGATTGAATTGTTTGCTTTGCTCAAGCAATTCTGTTTAGAATCTAGATTAATGGATGTTATAGTGCATTTTGAAACCTAAGTAAGTTATGGATTCGTTTTCGTAGCGAATCTCAAATAATCATTATGCGGAAGAATGATCTCTTAGTTTCAATTTAAATATTTCTGGAAAGTTAGAGATCTGTTGAGCATGTTGGAAATTCAGAGTAGTAGCACTTTTGCATGCTACACACTACGACCTATAGTTCCTTTAATATTTTTGAACCAATGATATTACATTTGTTATATCTGTTTGGTTCCCTATTTCTATGGTTATAGATGTGATTAGTGTGCATTTGGTTTTGCTTGGTTGGGGTATAGGTTTAGTTGAAATAGTATTGGTTTTTATTAATGTTCTTTTCCCTTCCAGCAGTGCCCATTTCCACCCAAATTGAATCTCAAGTTCTTCTGCTTTCGAAGACGGCATGGTCGGCCAACCGTATATTTTCCATCACTTTTTTATTCAGAAATAATGTAAGCTTGTTTGATTAATTGAATTTGTATTTTTGTTTTGTGTAGATTTGACAAGATCATCAACAAGGAAATACCGAATAAGGTGGTTTTGAAGACGATAAGGTGCTCCTTATTGTGTTTCTTCTCAGTTTCAATTTCCTATTCATTTTTGAATTGAGCTTTACCAGTATTTACTTTTTTTTCCTTATGAAGTTTGGATTTTTGAGTAATGGGTTTTGTTAATAAATTTTAGGAATTAATTCTTAATCAATAATAAGTGAATTGAGAGTGGAGAGCTGGCATGGTTGGGATTAATTCTTAATCAATAATAGGTGAATTAATTCTTAATCAAACTAATCTCTAACCCATTCTTCATCTGTTGTACAAGGTCTTGAAGAAGCAGCTGACGCTGATTTATCCGAGAGACGAAGGCAAGCCTCTACTAAAACAGCCCATATTGGCCGACGACAGAGATTTAGTATGCAAGGTCGGCAAGCTGGTGAGGTTTCCAAGGACGTCACCAATTTCGTGAAGTTGCTGGAGAACAAATCGGAAAAGTTCACTGCTTTCTTTGTGGAGAAGGAGGTAGTACGTTAGTCGATGGAAGGTATTATTTCTTGATTTTCTTTAAAAAATTATCGAAGATTACAATTGAGATTCTAGAATTATGAGAATTTGTTTAGGAATTGAGAGATTGACTTGCTGCTTGCGAATTCAGAAAATTTATGGTTTTTTATATGAGAATTTTGGTTTAGGATATCGAAAGATTGTCTTTGATGTATGATATTGAATTTGGATGAAATTTATTAGATTTTGCCTTTTTTTTAGGCCGTTGTATGTATTAAGTTTGTAATTAGGAACTGTTTTGTATGATTTTCTGTATTTGTAATTGTTCAGCATAATAAAATATAGGGTTTTTTCTTTTTGCTGTGTTGATTTTCATGTACTCTGTATTCATAATTGTTTATTTTTTTAAGGGAAATGTGGGATATGATAGAGATGTAAGCAATTTCAAATCTTCATCTATCCCATTTCCACTTTGTTCAATTCAATTTGATTTAGCGTTATTTTCGTTGCTTTTGAGGATACCAAATTAAAAGTGCCTTTTGATCTTTGTATATGTGCTAATTTGAATTGGATATGTTGAATTAGAGACGTGCTACTTTGAATTGGATAGGTTGAATTGAAGTGTGCTATATTGATATATGATGAACTGATGGTTACAGAACACACACGCACACTCACCCGTCATCACATACTCTGGGGCTGCAGAACCATAGGTTCCCATGACTCGCGTCGAAACATGAGTTTTATCACCCTCAGGACCATCTTTCGCAAGTTCGAAATCCGAAGGCTTGGCATTGTAATCCTAAAATAACTCATTCATTTAACACATGAAAATTATGCATTTTCATAATTAAAGTTTTAAATTGTCATCATTCTGTTCAAATGCACCATTTCCGTTTTGTTTCCCTTCTCTCATCTTGCAAGCACTCATGGTGTCCATTTCCTTTTAATTTCGGTTAATGCAGGTTTTGAAATTTGTGATGATCATTTTCATATTTCTATAAATTTTGAGAGAAAAAAGCATGTGAAAAAGACACCTAAAAGCAGCTAAGTAAACAGTTTAATCAAGAAACAATTCAGAAGTAGAACCAAATAAGCCACGGTCCAACTTTCGCACACCCTCTGGCGTAATTTAATATCAGAAACCGTCTCCTGAATTCAAGTTTGCCTAGAGCTTCTAATTGTCTGTGCCCATCATGTCTTTCTTGGTTTACAACCAAGGACCGATTAGTGAGAGCAATATCAGAAACCGTCTCCTGAATTCAAGTTTGCCTAGAGCTTCTAATTGTGTGCGCCCATCGTGTCTTTCTTGGTCTACAACCAAGGACTGATTAGTGAGAGCTTAAAAAATAGATAGTTGTCATAAACAAACAATTGATCATGATGATGTTTTTTGTAATTTGGGTTTATAGTGCTTCTAAATGCTGTTTTAATTGAGTTTTCTGTGTTTGGTCAATTTGTTGTTGCGGATGGGTGATACGTTTTTTTTCTTTCAGTTAAGAAACAGTGCCTTTCAGAGTTGTAATTTTTTGTTGGGGTTTTTTCAAGCTGCTGTGTTAAAGGTATATGATGTGTTTTTTTCTTTTCGCTTTATTCTTGCTGATTTGGGATGGTTTTTACATTGTATTTTTGTTATGAGTTTGTTGTCCCATTTTTGTGATGGACTTGGAATGAAATGGGATTGGGGGGTGATAAAAATTTCTAGCTAGCTAGGGAAAGGTCACAGTGTTCAGATTTTGCAGGTGGGATATTAGGGTGAGGGAAAAATGGGAAAGAGAGCATGGAAGACAAATTTAGGATTAGAGATAGGAAAACTAATCAAAAGATTATGACAGAGGAAAGGGTTGTGTTAATTTGGATTTTTTTTTTCGACTGATTTGGGATTTTTTATTTTTTATTTTTCTGTGATTGCCAAGTCAGCTTGAAAGAGAGCAATAACCAAATTATTCGAAGATAGGTTCTCTACATAATTAGGTTCATGCATGTACCTACTGCTACGGCACTCAAGTCATTTTCTTAATTTATGCGCATATATGATACGTAACCAACACATGTTTTCAAAGGATGTTAGTGTTCAAGCTCTGATGATATTTTATTCTATTCATTTTGATTTTGTTTTTCAGTTGTGGTTATAGGATTGTTTTGTTTTGTTTTTTTTCTTTTTTTTTGCTTTTCTAAAATTCAACTGTTGTTCTCAATTTGGTTATTTGAACTGAGGCCAGTTAGGATGTGCCTTTGGAAAGTCTCACTGCTTTTAAAGTTGAATGGTGCTAACTGAATATAATGCGTTCATTCTTCAGTGTGTGTGAGCGTATGTGTATGCAGTATATGTGAGTGCATGCAGTGTGTGCAGTGTGTCACTTGGGCTGTTGGCTTTTTGAGGTATGTTCATTTATAAAGATTTTGTAACTGTATTGTTGAATTTTTAATGTATTCTTGGATTTTAAAGGGGCACCGTATTTATGGGTTGTACGATTCTAGGGAGATAAAAAGGGGATTGAGAGGTCATGCTAAGGAGAGTATATTACTTGCCACTGAGGAATATACTTCATATAATAGCAATGTGATGATGTGTGGCATGCTTTAACTAAATGATATTTTTGTGTAGTAAGAAAGCCATATAGTCACATTTTTGTTTTGTTTTGTTTTTTTTTTTTTGGATTTGGTAACTGAAATTTTGTGTGAACTAATGTTTCTTTTGTTTCTTAGGGAAACATAACTTTTTTGGAAACCATCTCTTTCTAATCAAAGATGTTCAGTTTCTTCCCACTCATTGTACAATGTGTTTATATGTCAGCTCACTTGAATGTATATAAAAAAAACTGTTTGTTCATAATTGTGTTGAATTTATTCAACTTAAATGTGTTTTATTCATCCGATTACACCTCAAACAACATGTTCCCGCAGCAACGCGCGGGCATATTTTCTCGTATTATCTAAATACAACCACATATATCCTAATCAACCACTAAATTGTAAAAAAGCGAGAAGAACTAAAAAAATAACTTCTCAATTATTACGACTAGCTAAGAGATGCATCTCATGGAGTACGTCGACACAGGCGAATCAACCGCGGGCGCATCGTACACCCTCGGATGATCGCTCTCCAATCCGTAGTCCATCATCGGACGGTGCTCCAAGTCCTCATCATGATCGTACACGAAATCAGGCACCTCAATCTCGCTCCTCCTCACGTGCTCCCACAAATAATCGAGCCTGCTCACGTACCTCAGCTTTCCGTATACCCTGCGGCGCACCACAAGCGCACGTTAGTACAAATGACAGGAAAAATGCTTGCATGCGCCTTTTCCGTTCAAGTAAATCAATCAATTATTTACCCGTCGGTGAAAAAGAAGCGGCCGAAGGTGGCGAAAAAGAGGCGGGCCTGGAGGCCGGGGTGGAGGAAATACACGGCTTCGAGATTCCGGCGGACGCCGATCGGGATGGCGTCGTAGATTGATCGGACGGCTGAGATTCCGGGGAAGTTCTCGCACCTTTGAGCTCCAGTGTGCACGTACAGCACAGCGAACGGCTTTTTCTCGATCTCTGGGAATATTCTCTCCTCCAAATACTTCCGCAGAGCATCAACGCTCACAATTCGAGCTAAATAATACAAAAAATAAAAAAATAAAAATCAGATAAAAACTAAAATAAATTGAGGATAAATTGTTGATCACGAAGAATGATTAAGAATCTGTTTGGGAATAATCTTTTGAAGTGCTAAAAGCGCTTTGAAATTGACAGAAAACGTTATAGGTCACAAAAGCACTTTCTGGAGAAGCACTGGCTTCTTCAGAAAGCACTTCCAGGATCGCTTGAACTTTTGATAAAAAAAAAAGTCAAAAGTATTTTTAATAAAATCAATTCTAGCACAAGCGCTCTGAAAGAGAAGTGCTTTCTACAAAAAGCAATCTCAGAAGATCCCTAAAATACCTGGAAAGAATTTGCCGATGATGCGAAGGACGGTGCGGCCGCGTTTGTCACGTCCCCTGATCCTGAAGATGTCGAGCTTCTCGATGAGTTCCTGCTGCTCGGAATCGGAGATTTGAGTATGCATTTCTTTCTGTTTACTTTGGATGGCGAGAAAGTGAGGGGAATTGTGATAGAATTTTGAAGCGGGAAGGGAGGATGAGGGGGTCAATGGCGTTGGATGAGAGAGAATTATGTAGCCGACGACAAGCGGTATTATTTCGTGACTGGCTCAGGACTTAAGGGGGCCAATGGAATATTCGGACGGATCTTCCGTTATTGGAGGTATTTGGGTGTCTGATTGCTGAGTTGGCGTTCTGTTGATTAAATTAGGGTTTGGATAGGATGATGGGCAGTTTTAGTGGAGGGTGGGTCCAAAGATAGAAAGAGGTGAGGAGAAAATGTCCTTCGAAGGGTTGAACTAGTAAGAGTGTTTATGGCATGGGCATGTGTTCAAGGCTTAATCTACTTGGCTAATTAAAGAAAACAAATGCTAATTGGGCAATTGGGATTGTGATATGGCATGCGTGGAGGTGAATTTTAATGGTTGATGCATATGAGGCTTGTAATCATTAATAATCAAATAAAACAAAATTTAATTTGGTGCTACGCGATGTTAATGTTGGACACTTTTAGGCCCATCCGAAGGTGCCAGCCTAAAAAGAAACCACGAAGAGCCCAAGGCAAAGTGAAAGACCATGGGAGATCAAGAAGCCCAAGGTCCAAAGGACTTGGAATGGAACACGTCCGAGTGCTGAAGGGCTTGTCGAATAGTGATTAACCGACCGACCAGGGTATACGAAAGGCTTGTCGACCGCCGAGAGCACGTGGGTAGACTAACAGCTTTATGACATAAATCTCTAAGGGAAGGTCTACTCAAACACCAATCAAGCCACTTAGCGACCCAAATTCAACTGCAGGGACCTAGGATTGAAACAAAAAGTGAGTCGCAATGCGCTTGGAGAGGTTGAGTTCGACAATCGAGGTAGATTGAAGGCTCAATTCGCTTTACAATGTGAATGTGTGTTATCTTAACTGGACACCCATCACTTCGCCGTCAAATGTCTAGATGGCAGATGACAAGGTGTTAGTAAGCTAGTCTATGTAGGCAGCGCATTGAATGCTAAGTAGGAAGGACCCAAGGCTGAGGGGTTCACTAATGGCCTATATAAAGGGGTAAAAACCTCCAACAAGGGGGTTAGACCAAAAAGGAGAGAGAGAATTGATGTATTAGTTGAGTGTTGTTTTTTAGTCTTGCAGTTAATAGAATTTGTGCAATGCAGTGGATGTAATCCAATTTTTAGAGGTGAACCACTTGCATCTATGTGTCCATTTCATTACAATCCACATCCCAAGCCCACCAAAGCTTTAGTATGTAGTTTGTTAACTTGCAAATTTTGAGCGTTAACACGCGAATAAGACACATACAAGTAATTATTGATGCATGCGAGACATTTCAACATTAATAATCATGATGAAAGAATGCTTAATTGGCAATTTGAGTAGCATTAACGTCAATATGACAAGCAACAGACTAGTCGTTGATGCATCTAACAGTCAAGATCAATTTACACGTGTAAAAGTGACCATAACATTTGTTTAGTAACTCAAATTTTTTTTTTACAGAGGTTTGGTAGCTTCTGAAGCATACATGATCTCATCCAATGGGATTTCTCTCTTTCTATTCGTTCATTGACTGATAAAAGTTAAAAGTTAACTCAGCATTTTGGAAAGGAGCATGATTCTCTCACCTCTTAATTTCTTCCTCCTTCTATCCCTTCTTATTTAAACAGTTAAGATTAAACCACGTCAATATCTTATATTGAATTTTTTTTTTTTTTTTGTATAAAGGTAAAGAAAAAAAGGAAAGTACGAAGGAGGGAGGAAAGGAGAGAGGATTAGGAGAGAAGAGAACCTAATCTTTTTTTAGAAAGTCCATGCCAAAGCTCTTTGTCCGATTAGGTTTAGCTTTTAGCTGGTAGTGGTGTACTGCCCTACATGTGTTGTTGTGATCCTATCGTTCGTATTAAACTGGGCTTGATTTTATGGCCCATTTTCAATACCAAGCCCACTTTCAAATTAGGCGGCCCAAAGATGGCATGTCTCATCTAACCCTACTCTGTTATTGTCGAGAATTTCTGCTCTGCCACCCGGTGTATACACTCGGTGTGACACAAGATCTTTCCGTTCTTTGGGGGGAGTTTCGGTAGCATATAGAACGGTAGGAGACATCTAATTTTGGGGAAGAATATATTTGAAGAGTCTTGAAACTTGCAAATTAGAAAAAACCAGCTTCTTTGGTCTACTAATCATAATCAATACAGGCAACAATTGTACAAGATATATATGATCGGGGTATGTAAATAATACCAGAATTTTTCTATCATCTTTACGTGTGATGCCATGCAAAACGCCATGGCTGAATCTACAGAGGCTGACTGAATTCTTTCAAATCAAACCCAGATTCCTGCGCAAGCTCCGTCAACTCTTTTTCTCCACTCAAAACCTGTAAGAAGCGCCAAACTTCATGAGAACCAAGTAAATCTTCATAGATGGGATGAGTATTACAATTACAGCACGGTTCGCATGACAGTTTATATTTGAGGATGACCGAAAGTATGGAGTGATCTATGATTGTATTTCTCACCTGCCCATTAATCACCCATGTAGGAAAACCTTCAATTTCGACATCAAAGCATTCCTTTTGCATTATAGTTCCTTTCCTAAATCCACCAGGGAAGCACTCTACATAATTCAACAGCTTCGCTGCCTCACTTCCAAACATCTACACGATGCACAAAGCAAACAGGATACATTAAAAGTCCTATAACATAGAAGATAACGCTTTATTTTTCAAAATGTTTATCATGAAGTATGGAATGATTATTATGGATAACATTATTCTTCCGAAGAACCTTGGGAGAAATCTGAAAGAGATGTGTGAACACGGAAAATTCCTGAAACGAAAGAGACAAGAACAACGTGCACAAACAAATATTTGTATTTGATGATTTTGGGTTACAATCTCTCTCTATTTTGATCCTCTGATTCGATCTCCGTAAGGTATTGATTTGTGGATGTTTCGTTGATCCAAAGGCCGTCGAGGCTTGATCTTGGATGAACTGTTGGAAGTTTCTTCAAGGGGCCGTGGGCTTGATCTTTGAAGGTGGATTTGAGCGGATCTTCAAGGAGCCGTTGGGGCTTGATCTTGAGGATGAGTGTTTCTTCAAGGGCCATTAAGGCTTGATCTTGAATAACAGTGATGAACGGATCTTCAAGGGCTTTTGGGCTTGATCTTGAAGAACGGTTGGATGTGTGGATTTGTTGATGTTGTTGATCCAAGGGCCGTCGGGGCTTGATCTTGGAAGAACGATGAACGAAGAACGAAGAATGCTTTCTTCAAGAGCCGTTGGGGCTTGATCTTGAGTTGGTGATTGTTGATCCAAGGGCCGTCGGGGCTTGATCTTGGAAGAACGATGAACGAAGAACGAAGAACACTTTCTTCAAGGGCCGTCAGGGCTTGATCTTGGAAGAACGATGAACGAAGAACGAAGAACACTTTCTTCAAGGGCCGTCGGGGCTTGATGTTGGAAGAACGATGAACGAAGAATGAAGAACACTTTCTTCAAGGGCCGTTGGGGCTTGATTTTGAATTGGTGATTGTTAATCCAAGGGCCGTCGGGGCTTGATCTTGGAAGAATGATGAACGAAGAACGAAGAACACTTTCTTCAAGGGCCGTCGGGGCTTGATCTTGAATTTGTGGATGATTGTTGATCCAAAGGGCCGTTTGGGCTTGATCTTAGGATAAACGATGAACGAAGAACGAAGAACAAAGAGAGCTTTCTTGATTCTTCGGGAACCTGGATGTTTGAGAGCTTCGGAGTTTCAGAGCTTCAGAGCTTCAAGAATTTTGCCTAATGATTTTGGTTCCTCTCCTAAATGAATGAAATTGGCTTCTATTTATAGAATTTTCCAAGGCCTAATTTTGAATATAATATTCCAGATGAAATAAGTCGTTTCTGCCAGGTGTTGACACGTGTCATGTTTGATGACTTTTCCGATGATTCTCGATTTTTTGTTTAGACACACGCTACGTGTAAAATTTATGTAATACATGAGCGCTGAAACTTTGATTTATCGGTCAACATTTATTTACCGAAATTTCGATGTCTACAAATGCCCCCACTTCAAGGCGCGTCGTATACATGTGCTTGTCGCGTGTAGGAGATGCGTTTTGAAGTCCCTTAATGCATATGTTGATCCAAGGGCCGTCGAGGCTTGATCTTGAATTGGGCTGGAGATTTCTTCAAGAGCCGTTGAGGCTTGATCTTGAATTGGGCTTGAGATTTCTTCAAGGGCCGTTGAGGCTTGTTCTTGAACTTTGTTTGAAATTTCTTCAAAGGCCGTCGAGGCTTGATCTTGAAGGTTGAAATTGGACCACAAGGAGCTTCATGTGGTAGATGATCTTTGGCTTTGGTAGTGGATGAATCGGCACGTATTTTGTTGCACTTGTTGACTTTCCACAGCTTTGATCTTGAACTGGATTTGATTCAAATATGGTGGACGCTTGATCTTGAATCGGACTTGTGATTTCTTCCAGGGCCGTCGAGGCTTGATTTTGAATTTGGCTGGAAGCTTCTTCAAGGGCCGTTGAGGCTTGATTCTTGAAGGTTGACTTGAACACATGACAAGCAGGCATGAGGTGAATGTGTTGGTCTGTTTCTTTCTTCAATCTTTCCAAGTGCCGACCGATTGCTTTCTTTCTACTTGTCCCACAGGCAAGAGCAAAGGTAAAGGAAAAGCATACCATGAGATATCTTTGCTTTCGACTCTGATGATATGAGGTACTTTTTCTTTTGAAGAAGTTGTGGATGAATCAGTACGTGCTTTGTTATGCTTGTCTCCACATGCTTCAATGTATCTTTTTCCTTTGCCTTATCTATTCTTCTAGCAAAATGTGGCATCTTCTCGAGTTCTTCAGCTCAGACTCCTTCTGCTGAGTTGACTGTGTATGCTGCATTCTTCTCTGCTTGTTTCTTCAGGTAGATGTAGCAGCTTCTTGAGTTCCTCAACTCGGACTCCTTCTGTTGAGTTGACTGTGCAGACCGTATTTTTCTCTACTTGTTCCTTCTGCACGTTGTCTCCACATGCTGCAAGGTATCATTTTCACTTGCCTTATCTGTTCTCCAGGCAGATGTGGCAGCTTCTTTGGAAGTACAGCAGCAGTG